GACACAATCCATAAAGCTGGATAAGGGTCCTGGAAGCCCTCCAACCCCGATGTAACAGTCATTAACTCTTGTTGCTGACTGCAGGAAATCTGAAGGGCCCTATACATGGAAACACCAGGAGGCAGGGGAGCTCAGAGCAGCTGATATTTACCAAGCTGTTCTCAAAGCAGTTCAATATTTTAATGCCAATCTTTACTTCTACCTATACACAGAATTACCATGAATTCAACAGCCACAAAGGCAAAGCAGCACAGGTGTGTTGTACCAGTGCCTCAAAGAGAAGGTAACAATGCCACTGGTGACGTAATTTTCCAAATTGGTAAACACTCCTTAGTAAAGTAGCCCCCTCAACAAAAGTACAAACTTGCTTTGATTTATTGCATTCCTGGAAAATTCAGTGCATATTAAAACTGTGTAACAGGCTGGGCACAGTGGCCCACGCCTGTAATCCCAGCAGTTTGGGAGGCTGAGGCGAGCGCACTTGAAGTCAGGAGTTCAAGACCAGCCTGGCCACCATGGCGAAACCCCATCTCTACTAAAAATACAAAAATTAGTTGGGTGCAGTGGCGCACACCTGTAGTCCCAGCTACTCGGGAGGCTAAGACAGGAGAATCGCTTGAACCCAGGAGGTGGAGGTTGCAGTGAGGTAAGATTGCACCACTGCACTCCAGCCTAGGCAACAGAGCAAGTCTCTGTCTCAAAAAACTAAAAAACAAAACAAAACAAAACAAAACAAAAACCTGTGTAACCAATAATTTTATATAAATTAGGCACTGGACTATTGTGGGGCTTTTCTGCACATGGCAGGCTGTCTAACATCCCTGTTCCTGCACAATAAATGCCAACAACGTTAGCCCAATTATTATTCCAACCAAAACACCTGCACAAACTTCCAAAATGCCAGCCATATCAGGATTTGCCCACTCCCACTGAGAGCCACTAAGTTAACTACACCCCCATTCACTTACTTCCTTTTCCAATGTAAGACCTCATACAAAATTAAAACTGGCGTATAGTGTTTAAGGGCTTTCACTATGGAGTTTGAAAGATTCGGGTTCAAATTCCTTCTTTACACTTTTTAGTTACATAATCTTAGGAAAATTACTTTCTCTCTTTCAGCCTCAGCCTCTTCCTCTACAAGTTGCTGTGATAATTAAATAAACATTATATACAGGCCAGGTGGGATGGCTTATGCCTATAATCCCAGCACTATGGGAGGCCAAGGTGGGTGGATCACTTGAGGCCAGGAGTTCAAGACCAGCCTGGCCAACATGGTGAAACCCCATCTCTACTAAAAAACACAAAAATGAGCCCATTGTGATGGCATGCACCTGTAATCCCAGCTTCTCGGGAGGCTGAGGCACTAGAATCTCTTGAACCCAGGAGGCGAAGGTTGCAGCAAGCCGAAATCACACCACTGCACTCCAGTCTGGTGACAGAGTGAGACTCTGTCTCGAAATAAATAAACAAACAAACATATACACACTGTATACGGTTTTGGCTTTGCAAAGCGCATACACACAACTTACTTAGCATGGGGCTTTATGCTAACTAAATGCTCGGTTTATGGTAGCTATTATTCTTAAATAATAAATAACAGGGATTGATGCCATTTCATTGTCTCCCGCCACTAATTTCAGCTAAATGAAAGATAACTATATCTACAAGCAAAAATATTTTTCAAACTAAACAGTATGAAGGAAGTAAATGGAGTTCTGCAGAGCTGGTTGGCTAGTGAAGCACATGATTGAGATCAGGCAGCATTAAAAGCCATTCAGAATATTTTACAAAACAACTTAGTTAACCTACTATTATCTGCTTGAATCAAAACTCACCAGCAAGCTAGACAAGACTACCATAGGAACTCTAGCTCTGCTCAAGATTAGAATGGGCCAAGAAAAGGCTCCTGCTGGAGGATTAGGATAACCTTGGGAACATCCCTGAGCTTTGGGTCCAGGCTAAAATATGAGCAAATCAAACTAGCAGTGGTCCTCTATCAGCAGAAGGGAATGAATATAAGATGCATCTTTATGAAGTCGTAGAATTTAAAGTTTCCAGAAGCCCGGTATAGTGGCTCACACCTATAATGCCTGCACTTTGGGAGGCCAAGGAGGATTGCTTGAGCTCAGGAGTTCAAAACCAACCTGGGCAACACAGTAAGACCTCATCTCTACAAAAAATAAAAAAATAAGCTGGGCATGGTTATGCATTTGTGGTCCCACCTATTCAGGAGGCTGAAGTGGAACGATCACTTGAGACAGGAGGGTCAAGGCTGTAGTAAGTGAGCCTTGATAACACTACTGCACTCCAGCCTGGGTGACAGAGCAAGATCCTGTCTCAAAAACAACAACAAAAAAGTTTCCAGAAGGAATCTTAACTCTTATCTTCACCTTCAAGTCAGTTTTATCAAAACTTTAATAAGCACTAAATATGTGACACCTTTATAAAAATATTTTCCCCAAATCTTCAAATAAAATGGATATGTTATGTTTTCTCATACAGCTTAGTATCCTCTGATTGACCAGACACACCCTTTGGTATAATGGACTCTGGTTTGAGAACCTGGGAATTAACTAGATGATCTCTGTTTTCTTCCAGATCTAAAAAGCTGGTGACTTAATATAAAATCTGCCTTAAGAATAAAGGTATCGGCCAGGCTCAGTGGCTCACGCCTGTAATCCCAGCACTTTGGGAGGCCAAGGCAGGCGGATCACGAGGTTAAGAGATCGAGACCATCCTGGCCAATAGGGTGAAACCCCGTCTTTACTAAATATACAAAAATTAGCTGGGTGTGGTGGCTGGTGCCTGTAGTCACAGCTGCTCGGGAGGCTGAGGCTGGAGAGCTGCTTGAACCCGGGAGGTGGAGGTTGCGGTGAGCCTAGATCGCGCCACTGCACTCCAGCCTGGCGCCTGGCGACAGAGTGAGACACTGTCTAAAAAAACAAAAAAAGAATAAAGTACCTTGTTTCACAAGAAATATTTTACACAAGTTGAATCATTTGTAATGCTCCAAAGTAGCTACTTATTTACAAACTTAAATGACGATTTTGTAAATAAAAAGCATCTCTTAATTATTTAGTTTAATCAAATTTAACAAACTTTTGGACACCTACTATGTGCCTAATAGTTTCAGGCTGTATATAATACCGAAGTGGAATAAGAATTTCATCATCTTAGGCAGCATTGAGAACTTTATGTGGCAGGCACTATTCTACATGACTTATTCATTTAATTCTCACACTCTGCGGTCACTGGTATTATCCTCATTTTATAAATGAAGAAATTAAAGCACAGAGATGCTATAACAGCCCAAGGCTACTAAGCTTGTGATAGTGCTGAGATTCAAACCAGGCAGTCTGACTCTATCAACTATTCTTTTTTTTTCCCCACCCCTTCCCTCTCCAATCCACTATTATTGAAACACACAACAATTAGAAAACAAGACCTCACATAATAAAATACTAAATTATACAGTACAGCACAATAGGAAACAGGAGAAAGGAAAGAAAAAAAAAATGTGGCTGGGTGTAATGGTTACAGCTATAATCCTGCACTTTGGGAGGCTGAGGTGGGAGAATTGCCTGAGCTCAAGATTTAGAGACCAGCCTGGCCAACATGAAGAAACCCCATCTCCAGAGAAAATACCAAAATTAGCCAGGTGTGGTGCCATGCACCTGTAATCCCAGCTACTTTAGATGCTCAGCCTGGAGGATCCGATAAGCCCAGGAGGTCAAGGTTGCAGTGAGCCAAGATTATGCCACTAAGCTCCAGCCTGAGTGACAGAGTGAGGCCCTGTCTCAAAAAAAAAAGAAGCTAAATTAAAAAAAAGAAAAAGGAAAGGAAGGAAAGGAGAAAAAAAAGCGGGGGAATTGGTAGGAAAAGTAAGAGAAAATAGGATTTCAGTTAGCTGGAATTTGCAGATAAGGAAAAAAGAGTATTCAGGAATCTACTATGTGAATACAGGAGTGAGGACTTGACTCTAGTGGGAAGTGAGAGTAGATGACAATGAAACTTGAATAGGCAAGGGGAGGCCAGACTGAAAGGTCTTTTATTCCAGGCCCCAAACCAGTGAAAAAGATCAGAGCGTTCCTGAGCTGGAAGGAGTAAGGTCAAAACCTTAGCAGCTTGTAGGACAAAATGAGAGGGAATAAAGGAGATTTTCTTATATTATCTTTAGGAAGCAAGGAAGGCAGAGGTTTTACTTTTTTTTTTTTTTTTTTTTTTGCATTCCTAGCACCTAGCAGAGTGCCTTACATACAATAGGGACTCATATCTGTGAGTGCCCACATAAATGAAGAAATGAAGCGTATTTATAATGCAAATACTAACAGGATAAGAAATATTTAGCCAAGTATCATCCCTTCTGACACAGCAGAATACTCACAAGGGATCTGGGCCATTCCAGATCACTATCTTACTTTCTGAAATGATATCCCAATCACTAGAGCTCTGTTCAGATAGTGACCTTGTAAAGCCCGAGGGGCACCCTAGAGAAGGGAACACCGTAGGAGCAGGAAAGTGACTAACGCCCAGATCTCAGCGTGGTCCCCTGAATGACCGACCGACCCATCTTAGTCCTTTGGGGTTGCAGAAGAGGGATACAAGCCCATTCCCAGGATGGCCTCCGCCAGGCGGGGCAATCAAGGGAAATGACAGACGTAGGGGGCTCGAGCGCAGGGGCCAAAGGAGATGCGACACCAGGAAGAGGGGCCCCGGGCACAGGCACCAAGGAAAGAAGAGGTCAGCGGAGTCTGAGGGAAAGAAGATGAGGAGGTGAGGCGGGCGCCAAGCGGGGTGCCGCCACACACAGAACCCCCGACACTCGCAGCTCTAGAAGGCACCAACCCCTCACGACCAACCTGCCAGACGCTCTGAGGACTCCCCGGGTAAGAATGACAAGCCTCCGCGACAGTACCCACCAAGGAAAAGCGCCTGGCGAACGCGCTGGAGAACGCATGCGCTAGACCCGGCGCTTCCTCCACGTGGCCTGGAGCGGCGCCGAGACTACAGTTCCCAGAATGCCACGCGAGCCCGTCCCTGCGGGCGCCTTGGGGCAAAGGCGCTGCTAGGGTTGGTCAGTACCGTGAGAAGCGAGGAGGTGTAGTGCTGGAGCTTCTTCTCCTGAAGAAGAAAGGACCGCAGGAGGAAAGTCTGAGCCATGTCGTCCTTGATCAGAAGGGTGATCAGCACCGCGAAAGCCCCAGGGGCCATTGGACCCTACAGGTAACGTGGCTAGTGGGAGCAGTGACGGACCCGGGGCGTTCGGGTTCGGGGATTTGGAGTTGGGGCCACCCCAAGTCGGAGCCCCTGTGAACACGCGAGGAAACTGAGCCCAGAAAGCGGGCAACGCACCCGAAGACCTACAGCGATTTGGGAGCCACGGTGGTATCTGCGAGCCTGCGCTCCAGGGGATTTTGCTCCTTCTGGCTGGGGCTGCTACGCAGCGAAGCCCCAGCCTGCCAGAAAGCTGTACCTAGTTAGATGTCTTCAGACCCTGCGTTTTGTTTGGGGGAGAGGGTCGTTTTCGTTTTCTTGTTAACAGCTTTATTGAGATATAATTCACGTACCATAAAATTCACCCTTTTTAACATGTACAATTCAATGGTTTTGACCATACTCAGACTTGTGCAGCCATCACCACTTTCTTCAGAACATTTTCATCACCCCAAAAACAAATCCCATCCCCATTAGCATTCACTCCCCATTCTCCTCTCCCGCGTGGCCCCTAACAATCTACTTTCATCTTCAGGGATTTGCTTGTTGTGGACATTTCGTATAAATTGAATCATAAAATATGCAGTCCTTTGTGACCGAGGTCTTTCATTAGCTTCATACTTGGTCTAACAATTGGAAAGAGCCCCATCAACAGATGTAGTTGCCTCTACTGTGGAGAGCTGAGTTCTTTTAACAGAAATGCTTAGCTAATCCTTGTACATCTACCCAAGCCACTGGTTTCTACAACATGTGGAAATGCATTGTAATGTTTGTCAATTCATTGCCCAGTCTTATTTCCCACTAATAAATACAAATCATAGCAAAGATTATTTTCTAAGCTTGTGCCAACATGCTCTAGCTAAATATATGTATACTGGCCAGGAAGTCTACCTTGTGTGCTTTTGTTTCTACTTGTCAGAAGTGCTTTTAAATGGAAAGGTTAATTTTATTTTTAAACTTCGTTTTCTTAAAATGTCTCAGCTTTAAAACTATTGGATCTTATCGTATGCATTATTGGAGACTTTCTTTTTCTAAGATAATTTTTTGTGTTTATTTTTAATTCTTCACTAAAGTGCATTGAATGCCTATTATATGCCAAGCACTTAGGAGTATAAAAATGTATAAAGACAACCCAGTGTGAAAAACATTCATATATATGGGGAAAAGAAAAATGGACATTTTAATTTAGTGCGTGCTTTATGCCAGATACCATGACAACCACCTTCTCTTAAGTCCCATCCCCATTTTACAAAAAGAAAACTCAAGCTCCAAGTCAAGGTCAGAGAGTCTATAAGTGACAGTTTGATTTGAAATCAAGCCCTAGCTCCCTCCTTTAAATCTATTGCTGTGAGAAAAGGCACTGAGATGTGACAGAACAGGAATTATTATTATTTTTTTTTAAAAGAGGAGGTTTCACCATGTTGACCAGGATGATCTCGATCTCCTGACCTGGTGATCCTCCCACCTCGGCCTCCCAAAGTGCTGGGATTACAGGCGTGAGCCAATGCGCCTGGCCAGAACAGGAATTATTATAGAAAACTTGGAAATAAAATGCAACAGGAGTGAGAGGGCAAGTGGGGTATGGAGTAAAGGAGAAAAAAGACACATTCATTTTAACTTGAGGTGGAAGAGGAAAAGGGAGATTTAGGAAGCTTCCTTGTGAGAGATTGTCCTTTGGTTTTGAAAATTGGTTTTGTCATTTATAGTAGTGTTGTAAAGTTTGATTTTTAAATTAATTCGTTAAGGATTTCAACAGGAAGTCGTTGAGTGAAGGGCATGGAGGTGGAAGTCAGGTAGAGGGAATGGCTTGAGTGAGGGCATGGAGGTAGAAGAATGCATGGTATAAAGATTCGGAGGAGAAAGTTTTCATAATTCAAGTGCTACTTCTTTTTGTTTGTTTGCCAAATCTATCACTTATTATTTACTTAACCTATTTCTTTGAGATGGCTCACTTCATTTTATTTAACAAGTTAATTTAAAAAGGAAACTTTACAGTAAATAAAAAACAATTCAATAGAAAGTAACAGTAATAAACTCAATTTTTAAAAAGGTGTTATTAAATTTTAGATAGATATTGCATTTGGCTCAAAACCTGAGGCTAGCTCTCTCTTTGTTAAGAGGGATGCTTCTTTGGCTGGGTAATGTGGCTCACACCTGTAATCCCAACACTTTGGGAGGCCAAGGTGAAGAGGATTGCCTGAAGCCAGGAGTTCAAGACCAGCTGGGACAACATAATGAGACCCTATCTCTATTTTTAAAAACGTTTAATTAAAAATTTTTAAGTGATTTTTAAATTTGTTTTCTAAAAATGATAATTTTTTTCTCCTTAATGTAATCAGATGGGGCAGAGTCATCATTGCTAACATTTACTGTTGCTTACTCAGCACTGGGTTTTGTTTGGTTGGCTGGTTGGTATTTTTTTTTGAGACTGAGTCTCGCTCTGTTGCCCAGGCTAGAGTGCAGTGGCGCAGTCTCAGCTCACTGCAACCTATACCCCACAACCTCACAGATTAGAACGATTCTCATGTCTCAGCTTCCCAAGTAGCTGGGATTACAAGCATGTGCCACCATGCCCGGCTTCTTTTTGTATTTTTAATAGAGACAAGGTTTCTCCGCATTGGCCATGCTGGTATTGAGCTCCTAACCTATAGTGATCCACCCCCCTTGACCTCCCAAAGTGCTGGGATTACAGGTGTCAGCCACCACACCCAGCCAGCACCAGGCACTGTTCTAACTGATTTATGTGCATGGTTATATTATAGTCCCCATTTTTCAGATGAAGAAACTGATGTGTGCAAATTAAATAATTTGCCAAAAGTTACACCACTAAAAAGTGATGTAACAAAATTTGAATTTAGGAATGGGTTCTAGAGCCTAGTCTTAATCATTTAGTTTGTTGTCCCTTATGTAGACTGAAAAACAAAAATTGGAAAATTTTCTTACTGTGTTTCACTGTGTATGACTGACTCCTTTGAGAAATGCTGATTAAGAGTTGGGCTTTGGATTTGAATTCTTGTTTTGCCTCTTTAATTATATGACCTTGCAGCATGACTTAACCTTTCTTAGTTTGCTTCTTTGTCTTCTAAGTGGGCATAAATAATACCACTTGATAAGATTATTTTGGGAATTAAATAAAAGTGACCAATACAAATTAGATTTTAGCAGGGTACAGGTTGTAGTGGATTCCAATACAAAATGGAAGAATATAAACTTTATTTCATATATAATGTGGAGCAATCAAATGTGTTTTTTTGTTGTGGTTGTGTGTGTTTGTGTGTGTGTGTTGACAGTGTCTCGCTCTGTCACCCAGGCGAGAGCTGGGATCGCTGCTCAGTGCTGCCTCAGCCTCCCTGGCTCAAGCCATCCTCCCACCTCAGCTTCCCAAGTAGCTGGGGATACAAGCTCAAGCCACCATGCCCGGATAATTTTTGTATTTTTTGTAGAGCTGAGGTTTTGCCATGTTGCCCAGGCTAAATGTTTTTAAGCAGGGTGGAACATGATCAGATCTTTTAAGAAGAGAATTCTGATAGAAATTTGGAGGTAAACAAAGTGAGAATAGTTACGGGACATTATAAGTAAAAATCTGTAATCTTTTTTCTCCTTCTGCCCTAATGTCTTTCCCTCAATCACACAGTGGTAGCATTTAGAAAAACACTTTTACTTCTGAACAAGAGGGACACAACCAAATCAAAGTGATTTGTCCTGGAGACTGCTAAAGAGCATACCCCTTCCTTGACCTCTTTAGAAATACTCCATGGACTTGTTCAAGAAAGGAAGCACAACAGTAATGTTCCTGGCTGACTTGAAGGTGGATAGGAGTCAACTGTCTTTATAAAGCTGAAAGCAAAAAAGAGGGGAGTCATCATACGAATGTGCCAGTATAACAAGAAAAAAGCCACCAACTTCATGGTGTGGAGACTTCCAGAACATTGTGCCTCTTGTGCACTAAATGATTAGAAATGGTGCTTATTTTAATGTTTAAGAAAAAAACAGACTCCAGCTAACTACTTATATTCTGATAAAGTTAATTGAACATGTTTTAGAAACCTTTTGGAAACAAGAGTTTCTGTGCGTGGAGTGTGTAGTGAGTACACTTTTTGAAAATCCTGGGTCGTCTCCAGGGAGAATTCAAATGTGTGGAACTTTCAGTCCCTGGCATTGGATCAATGGGGTGTTGTCACTAATTAGCCAATCTGCTCAGCACATCTTAGGAATACTTCCAGACAGAACCTTGAACGATTTCAACAGTGCATTGCTTTGCATTACTCATTTTGCACACCGTCCTCATAGTTATAAATTTGTGAAGTGGTAGCCCATGTGGCATAGATTATAATGTGAGAATTATCAGAATGCTTTTGAAAGTGTGATTACCCTTTAATCTCAAAATAGAACAATGCACTTTTAATTTTTAAAATTCTTTAAAGAATCTTACTATCACTTGTCTGTGAATAGTAGGATTCTTATGCTCAGAAGATGTCAACTAGCCAATTATTCTTATAAACAAACTTCTTTAGATCTATACGAGATAACTGATATACCTCAGATGGTCTCAGCTCCAGAGCTTACTTTTTATATTCTGAAAATAACAGAGTTTCTTTGTACTGTTGTGAAGTTTCTGATAAATAATAATGCATATGGACTTAAAGTGTGTTTCAGATATGGGGAAAGCTGAAGGTACTTTGCACAGGACCTAGGGCTGTCCTAATTACACAGGACACAGGATAGTTAATAGAAACAGGAGAGCTAATAGAAACAGTGTCACTGATGGTATTATTTAACCTGAGAAAAGATTACAAATTAACAAATTCAGTAGTTATCTATTTGTGGACCAGTGTGAAAGCCAGATAGTTGAGAAGACTTTAGATTTTCTGAATCATGTTACCAAGTTTAAACATACTTCCTTAGCTCTCTAAGGCATTCGCTATAAGTGGACAGGTCCTGCTAAAAAGAGATTCATTGACAGCCAAAATTATTTATGCTACTAAGTAGTTAAAGAGCAAAACATCAGCAAGTACTTATAGTGTGCCCACTGTATGCAAGGAATCACCTGCACCCTACACAGCTACAGAGACGTGGTAAGACATTGCCCCTACCTCAAGGAGTTTAGAGTCTTAGATATCTTGGGAGACAGGATAATATCAGGATGAGTTACAACACGAGGCAGGATCCTGTACATAGTATAAGAAAGAGACAACCAGAGCACCCCTGGGATCCAGAGGAAAGGAAAGCTTAGTTAATTAGGGAAAGTGTGTGTGTATGTATGTGTTTGTGTTTACTGTAGTTTTATTTATAACAAAATATTGGAAGCAATGGTGACTAATTAAAGTACATCCATATTGTGAAATATAGGTAGCTGTTAAAAAAAAAAAAAAAAAAATGAGGAAGCACCCGGGCACAGTGGCTCACGCCTGTAATCCCAGCACTTTGGGAGGCCGAGGCGGGTGGATCACAAGGTCAGGAATTCAAGACCAGCCTGACCAACATGGTGAAACCCCGTCTCTACTAAAAGTACAAAAATTAGCTGGGCATGGTGGCGCGTGCCTGTAATCCCAGCTACTCAGGAGGCTGAGGCAGGAGAATTGCTTGAACCGGGACCTGGGAGGCAGAGGTTACAGTGAGCCAAGATC